CATGGAAACTTAATTTCAGTTGATCTCTAAAGGTCAAAAGTGTCCATGCATGACAGTATTCTTGGTGTGTAGACAAGTTCCACGTGTTCTCTATGTTTATATTCACATATGACATATGAAAAGGGAAATTGTGTGTGTTTATGCAAGTAAATGACCTAATTTTTGAACTAACTACACCCTCCGAGGCTGCTCCCTCTGCAGCCACTTAAACATGGCACTCAAACTTTCCATGCCCACTAAAACTACACCCAAACCACAAAGAGAAAGAACAAATTATTTTCTAGACGATATATAATAGCATTATATATTCACTTGAATGGTTAAAAAAATAGTACTGACAAATCGATTAATCGCGATTAATCGCATGTATCATAAACATTTGTGTGTACACACAAATAATATATACATATATGCATACACACGCATATAAAAAGCTTCGATATTAAATGCGATTAATCGCGATTAATCGATTTGGCAGTCCCATCGCGGTGAAAAATGTGCCCTCCTTCTCACCACAGTGCCACTTAAACATTATCCCATTCAATCCTTTTGTATGGACCTTAGCAAATTCTTTCCAGTGCCTTTGCAAAGGCATTTCACGCTGTTCTGAGAACAGTTTTAATCAAGCAAGCCCGGGCCAAAACCATTCATCTGACATGATCCAAGAACTACTTGGAACTGACCTGCTACGTCATCCATTCTGCACATGACAGCCAAGTTTATCATTTTAATGTGCTGCACCGCACGTGACCTGTCTTTTATAAAACTATGATTTAATGGATATCTGTTATAGTTTTTTATTTATTTATTTTTGTACATTATTTTGTGTTGTTAAATATTTTCACAATAGTGTGGGGAGGAAAAAAAAAAAGAGTAACTTAGCTTTCTTACCTGAATCGAGGGGAGTCTTTCAGGCACTCTTCAAAGTCCAGTTTGATAGTCATTTTGGGAAGTTAAAACAAAACAATTGATGCGAATTGATTGCACACACAGTTCCTTACGTGATGTGTCCGAACAATAGAGCTCCTTTATGCTGTAAACACCGAACTCTGTGGTGTTCAAAACATCAGGAATCGTTTATAAGGGGTGAATTAAACCAGTCGTTTCCATTGGGTGGTTTCGGTATAAATATCAGTCGGGTGTTGCCTGAAAACAAAAAAATAAAAATAAAAACATCGTTTCAAAGCTAAAACCATGTTTGTGTTTTTCAGGCAATTCACTTGACGAGTCGCAGAAATAAAATAACAATAATTCGTCAATAACATAAATACAAAAAGAACGTGTAATGGTAACCGAAAATTAAGCAAACCATAGCCTACCTATAATTATGACCTCATTTCTTCCTAAATTCTCAAGAGCGCGCTTTCATTATAAGTTCCATATCGTCCAATTATTGTAAGTCCACAGATTCGTAGTTTATACATAGATGTGTGTTTACACTCATGTCAACCAGCATGTCGTTTCCCTTGTGTGTCTAAAAGTTGTTCGCACTTCGCAGGGGAACTTTTTTCCGCTCTTGAATTTGTCACAGTTGGTCCAACCCCCATGATTCACGCGCTTCATTTCCGGGTTTCGATGCACCAATACATTTAAAGCAAGCCATGTCTGTTTTCAAACGGATTAATACTTATTTATTATGCGTATGTAATGCAGAACATTCCTGTTTGAGGTGACAAGATCTGAAAAACTGAAAAAGATACGTTGTTTTTAGCATGTATAGTCTAGTCATTGGTTTCTAGTGACCAGACTTATTTGTCTGGATGAGATACTTCCACAATCCCAGTTTCTTCAGGGAGTGTTCTCCAAAGTTTCTAAAGTCACGTGTCATCAAAACCACACTGCCCTTTTCAGTAAATCTGCTAGTTTATCCATCCATACTGGTCCCTGCCAAACCTGTTGTTCATAAGAAAGCCCCACCTGACAACAGTGAAAGAAATCAAGCCAAAGCCGAAACAATCAAAAGCTGAGTCTGTTATGTAACATTAAAATAAGCCCATGCCTCACAACATTAACACATGCATTCAACATTCATTTCTCTCTCAGTGTCTCTTACTGTAAATAAAGTAGTAGCAAGTCCAACAGTCCTATACATTTTAGACTAAGAATCAACATACAAGTAACACAAAAATATCAAACATATTAGCAGGCACTAATTGTGACCTTAAACCAAAAAATAAAAATAAACAAAGTGTTGTACATCTGCACTGTGGGCTCTTATATTTTTGTTTAATAAAAAACTTAAAAGTGATATAAGAAATACAGAGAAAATTGTCTTTAGATCAAAATTACATACGTTTCTATTACATTTGTCTTTGAAATAATTTTTAGAGGCAACAAAGCATTGAGAAAGTGCAAATAAATAAATGGAGAAAAACAAAAACACAACTTTAAAATTACTATTAAAGTGATAGTTCACCCCAAAAAGAAAATTCTGTCATCATTCACTCATCCTAAAGTTTCTGAACACAAAAGAAGATATGAAGGGTGAGCAAATGATGACAAATTTGACTATATATTTAAAGGGATAGTTCACCCAAAAACAAAAATTATCCCATAATTTACTCACCCTCAAGCCATCCTATTATACAACTTTCTTCTTTCAGCCTAACTCAATCGGAGTTATATTAAAAAATATCCTGGCACTTCCAAGCTTTATAAAGGGAGTGAATGGCACCTTTGATGTGGAAGCCAAAAAAACGCATCCATCCATCATAAAAGTGATCCATACGGCTCCAGGGAGTTAATAAAGCCTTCTGAAGTGAAGCGATGCATTTTTTTTAAGAAATATATTAATATTTATAACTTTATAAACTATAATCACTGGCTTCCGGTAACGGCCAAACGCAAGTCTAGTTCCGGTGAAAGAGTGACCTCTGACCCAACGTATGATGTAGGATGTAGGAGTAGCGTAAGCTTATACTCTTAGAAAAAGGGTTTATTGGGGTGTTATATATGAAGCATAGGTTCTTTACTCAACTCCAAAGAACCTTTTTATGCTAAAAAGGTTCCATAATTACAAGAAAGAAACCTTTTGGCACAAAGGTTCTTTATAGGCTATTATTCATTCATATATTACATTATTCTGCAACATTTTGTAGTAATAGAAAAAAACTGAAATGGCACTCTTCGTGTGATATTGATTAACTACATAAAATTATATAAATATATACATTTTCTAACTCCCATATCTTGAATTTTGTGATCATTCACATGCATTCATAAATACATTTTAGGGTCTTGATGTTTGTTTGTTTCAATAATATGAAATATTTAATCCGGAAAGGACAAAACAAATGATAATGAATGAACCCAAAAGGTTATAGAACCTTTTTCCTGGTTACAAAGAACCCTACCCATTAAAAAGGGTTCAGTATAGAACCTTTTAAAGGTTCCAAATACGAAGCGCTGATAGAACCTTTTAAGTTTATATAGAACCCTTTCTTCTAAGATTGGATTAGAGTAGAAGGAGCGTGGTTCAAACAAATAGGGCTGGGCAACAAACTCAAGCTTGTCCAACATTTCTATGTAAATTCTCGTTTTGGACTTCTAATTTGTGATCGGTGTTTTATTTTTCTCAATCCTATGTGCTTACACATTTGTCAATACGTCGGGTCCAAGGTCACTCCGGAAGCCAGTGCTTATAGTTTATAAAGTATATTTAAGATATTTTTTGATGTAACTGTTTGGTTGAAAGAAGAAAGTCATACAGCAAGAATAGCTTGAGGGTGGGTAAATACTGGGAGAATTTTCATTTGTGGGTTAAATGAGTAGTTCACTTTTTTAAAAAAAAACTTTTGCTGATAATTTACTCACCCATGTCATCCAAGATATCCATGTCTTTCTTTCTTCAGTCGAAAAGAAATTAAGGTTTTTGATGAAAACATTCCAGGATTTTTCTCCCTATAATGCACTTAACTGGTCCAAAAGACAGTTTCACTGCAAACTGTTTAATAAGTTAAAAAGTTTTATAAGATCAAATAATCGCCTTGCTCTGTTCGTGACTCTCCTGTTCGAACTTGTTCATCAAAATGGACGAATCTTTTTCAGAGTCAATTTACTCATTTCGTTCGTTGAATGAACCAAATGACTCAAAAAAAGATTTGTTCATTTTGATAAATGAGTTCGAACAGGAGAGACACGAACGCGCATCACAGAACAGAGCAAGGCGACCATTTGAGATTATAAAACTTTTATTTTTTTAAAATTTATTTTTTAAATGAGCGATCGTTTCGCTTGATAAGACCCTTATTCATCGTCTGGTGTCGTTTAAAGCCCTTTGAATAGTTTGTACTGAAAGTGTCTTTTGGACCTTGAACCATTTGGTACCCAGTAAGTCCATTATATGGAGAAAAATCCTGGAATATTTTCATCAAAAACCTTAATTTCTTTTCGACTGACGAAAGAATGACATGGATATCTTGGATGACATGGGGGTGAGTAAATTATCAGCAAAAGTTTTTTTTTTTTGTTTAAGTGAACTACTCCTTTAACTAACCCTTTATTGAAGCTGGATTGAACATTGGATGTTTGGCGGAGCTGTGACCTCTGCTGGTTGCTAGTTGCCACTTCATGACACGCATCGTGTGTTTTCACCATGGTTTTCATACTGCAAGACCAGGAACCAGGCCAACATTACATCAGTGTAACTGCTGAGATGTCTCCGTTAATGTGATTTGACTCAAGAATGTGTCAACAGGACGGAGGACGCACTCACTTACAACTCGTCAAGCGTGCTATTCGTTTAAGTCGTTCTCCATGAGGAAAACTGTGTGCTTCATGCAAACAGTTAATAATTCATACACTCCTTCGTACGTCGGTGTATGAATGAGTGAGTGAATGTGAACCTATATGTAAAGCGCTTTGGGTCATATAAATGCAGTCCATTTTACTATTTTTTTTAAATAAACACACGGACAGCGAATTGTATCTCAAACGTCATAAAGGGGCGTGATTAAAAAAAAAAACTACTCGCGTCCAAGATAAAAATCTCACGTTGCTGGGTAACACTGGAAATAAATAAGCACAATATAATGACCACACGGCCATCACACAAACAAAATATTGTTAAGCAGATTAGTCCCTACTTATCCCGCGCGCGTTATTCGCTTTCCAATCCAGGGGCATGTAGTACTCAAAGTTGCCTCCACGTCCTCCTCCTCCTCCCCTAGGTTTCTGTTCGCAGTCTCCCCAGAATCCCTGGAAGGAAATACGGGTGCGCAACAGCAGAGACTGCGGTGCGAACGGGAGATAATCAGCAGAGCGAAGGAAAGCAATGACAAGAATCGGATTTTCTCCGCGCCCAGATGAGAACACCGCAGGAATGAAATAAACAGGGCGGTTGTAAAACTAACGGCCAGTCGTGACTACGCATGTAAAGACCCTGTTCATGTTTTAACGCAATTCATCAGCGCGTGAGAAGCGTTCAGTATGCGCGCGTGAGAAGCACTACGGCGGCGGCGGGGGGATTAAAGCGCAACGGTGGGCAACAGTGAAAAGAAAACGGCTCCCCCATTACCATCTTGAGGGCCAGGGGGTGTGTTTGTGTGTGCGTGCGACTACAGGGCTCCAGAAGAAGCATGTCGAACAGAAAGCACCGGGACAACCAGGAGATATGCGCGCGCAAGGTCCGCGAGCTCGCCCAGGCGGGAGTCAACAAACACTGCTTCGAGTGCAACCAACCCGGGGTGACTTACATCGACATCACCGTGGGCTGCTTCGTATGCACGTCATGCTCTGGAATGCTGTGAGTGGAAACGTGCAACTGCATGCGATAATGTCAAGAATTTCATTAGTAGCATTCACCAAACTCTGTAGCTACAATGCAGCGCGAGTCTGGTTGTGTTTACATTCGAGATATTCGGTATTCACTACTACTTTGTCGTTTTCAGGCGTGTCCCAGACAGTCTCGCTCGTGTTACGTTTCATTTCGTCATGATTTCAGGTTTGGCATTAATATAAGAGTGTTTTTTTGCATGTCAGCAAAGGAATGGTGTATTTTCTCCTTCAGTTTGCACTTCACTTCACTTACGAAACAGTTTCCTCACCAGCGCTGATGAAAAATGCGCAGCCCTCTTCCTTCACTGTTTTGTAATTTATTGCTGCAAGAGGTTTTGTGCAGCTTACTATCGTCATCACAGCCCTGCTGTCACACCATTTATCTCACACGTTTCTCCAATTTCGATTAAAAATGAACGCGAACCCGTTGAACGTTTCATTGCTTGGGGTTTGTTTCTGTTTCAGGAGAGGGCTCAACCCACCCCATAGAGTTAAGTCTATTTCCATGACAACCTTCTCCCAACAGGAAGTGGAGTTTTTGCAAAACCACGGCAACGAGGTGAGTGGAAGGTCTACTAGTGAAGTGATGCTGTGAAACCACTTGCTTTTATGGCTCTTAGGTTGAAATAGAATTTTCTTCTTGTGCAAAATTATACCCCTCTTGGACCCAAAGGCGAATAAAGGGTACTGACAGCAACATAGTGTCGGCCCAGATCCGGCCCACATCTGGGCCGTGTGAAATCAGTGTGTACCTACCTACTGGATGGGGGCCGGATCTGGACCGACACTATGTTGCACTATGTAGTGTTGCTGTCAAATATCAAATATATTTGGTGCCTGATTAAAATGTTGCATGTTAATAGAATTATATAATGCATTATTTATATAATCTGCAAATTACAGACTTCCTTGGAAAAAATATATTTCATCAGCAGGGCTTGACACTGACCTCTTTGCTCACCAGCCACTGTAGCTAGTGGATTTCCAATGTTATTAGCCACTCGGCATTTTCACTGGCCACAATTTTGATATCGATCGATACTATGGGGAAAAACTGCCATATATATATTTTTAATATTATCTCATAATTTAGCAGCAGTTATATTGGGTTGCTGTCACTTTAAGACCTGATGCACAGATCCATTATACTGTTACACATGCGTTTTCATTTCATCAACATTTCTGACTGTGTTTATGTGAAAACTCACCAAGAGTGGCATTTTGACATTGTTTAGTGTGTATTTGACTGTTTAAGTGCAATAAGCAGCGAAAAAGAACCTTAATTTAGTGCCGAGGGGCGGGGTTATGCACACACACTTAGAAATTCAAGCCCTGTAACACCAACAATATTCATCCAGAGCAAATGAAACGAGTGTGTGAGGAGAGGTGGGTTTGTGTGTAACTCGCTGACGGAGAGATGAGAGAGTGAGAAAGCTCAGCTGGTATAGTGTATCTATTCTGTGGAAAATAAGCATTCAGATTTTTGAGTATCGATTTGAATCATAAAATCAATATTTTTTGTAGGGCAGTCAAACGATTAATCGTGATTAATCGCATCCAAAATAAAAGTTTGTGTTTACATAATATATGTATATATAAATACACACACATGCTTGTATATATTTAAGAAATATTTTCATGTATGTACTGTATATAGATGTATGTAATTTATATTATATATAAATATTATATATATAAATAACATTTTTTTCTTAATTATACATGCATGCGTGTGTGTATATATATATATATATATATATATATATAAATTTATTATACATAGTGCACCCATATACATTATGTAAACACAAACTTTTATTTTGGATGCGATTAATCGTTTGACAGCCCTAATTTTTTGACAACGATATTTTAGTCTATTATTTCAGATATTTCAAAATTCAACCCTCCAAGCCCTGTTCATAATAATAAAGGGTTTCTTTGAATGGACATCAATGGGGAAACATGCTTTTTGCCATCATAATGGTAAAAATTCCTGACCCCTGAAATAAACCCGAAAAACCAAAGCTCAAAGTAAACGTAACACAGTCCTGCGACCCATGCGAAGAGGGCGTGCATAGGAGTCTTAAAGGAAAAAAGGTCAGAAGGAGCACAAACAGTTTTGGTTCAAAATTGAAGAAGGATCAAATTAAATGGCCAGTTTATTGGGTACACCTTTTGCCTTCAGAAACGGCTTGATTCTTGAAATTGAATAACAGTGATAGCAAAAATAGAATAAAACCAGCAGCAAACCTTGAACATAAAGAAATATATTATATCCCATTTTACCTATGAACAACCTTATGTGCAACATAACGTGAATTCTATTAATAGAAAACACCCCACGTGTAATGGATAGGCTACACTTTTGCGGTTTATTTTTGGCTGTATTTCTTGTGTGTATGTCTGTCAAAAAACTATTGTATCTGTGGAAATGATAGACTAAAAGCATTTGATGGCTTCCATCATATAAAATACAAAAGCAGTTTGACTTGGTAGTAGTGCTTTGAGAAAATGTCAGCTTGAGCTGGTGTGTGGGCATAATAAAACATAATATATAGTTTTAATAATGTTTTTGGTAATATACTGCGGTTTTTCCCATGTGTGTGTTGCCTTTCTGGTGAGCAAATCTGAATGGGGTTCAAGTACAGACGCTGCTCTTTCACTCCCTAGCCAACACACACACACACATACTCACCTTCACACCCACAATTGGCACTAAAGGATTCTTGCTCATTGCAGTTGAAGCCAAATGAATGCTCTGAGGGTGGGCGCCATGCTTGTGTAACACTGGCAAACAATTCTTCTGACTCATTCCTCCTCTCCTCTGTCAGTAAAGTGTGTTGAGTATGAGAAGGAGCAGACTGGCATAGCTAATATCAATGCTAGTGATTGACATTAAAGTGAATGACAAATGAAAACGACACGCTAATTTTGAAAACGACAGCCTGCTAATTTGCACCTATGCTCATTCGATGCTAAAATATGTTTCATGAGTCACAGACAGTGTAATTTGTTGAAATAGCTCAGACACATCATGCACATGCTTGTAATGCAACAAACAGTATCTGTTGTTAATGTACACATGCTTACATTAACTATTAATGTTCAGTAATAATGAAGCTTTTAAGTGAAGTGCAAAGACTCAAAATGCTTTCTCAATGTTACATTAAAGTCCTTACATAACGTGTCCTTTGAGAGAGTCCTCTATGCATTATGAAGATTAGCTTGCAACAGTTAATGAGGGTTAAAAAGGTGATTAACTCTGTTCTTGGTTTATGGGGTTGTTAGGTTGGACGGAGGACCTGGCTCTGCACTTTTGACCCCAAAACAGACGGCTGTTTTGATGCACGCGACACACAGAAGCTGAAAGAGTTCTTGCAGGACAAATATGAGAGGAAGAAATGGTGAGTGTGGATCACACAGAATGATTAAGACGTGAACCATTCTCAATGGATTGTGTGTAGATGAAAGGTTAAGCAAGTGTGTGTCTTTCCAGGCATTTCTCTAAAAGCAAGATGCGCCGGGATGTGGAGTCCCCATGGGGCCCGGGGGTTCAGGCTGTTCCTGCTCCACACGGACCCGCTCAGAACCAGCCCCCGCCGGGGCATCCTCTGAACCCCACGTCCCGGCCCACTCGGACACTGGTGAGGAACAAAAAGAGATTTGAAGAGACAAAGAAAAAAGAGATAGGGAAACAAGAAAAAAATGTGAATGTTTATTTATTTTGTATATTGGTTTTATTAGTGTTATTATCATTCCCATCTACGTTTTTGTTCTAGTTATAAAAATAATAATAATAAAAATAATTTGATTTATCAGTCACATAATTATAATAATAGTAATATCAATAAACATTTTTTATGTATCAGTCACATAATAATAATTATTATTATTTTTAGTAGACTTCTAGTAGTAATAATAATAAAAAGTATCTCTTGATGTAATTTCTTAATAAATTAATATTATTATTTTTAATAATCCCTTGATGTAATTTCTAAATATTAATAATTATTATTATTTGACTGATAATAGTAATAATAAAATGAATCCCTTAATGTAATTTCTTCTTCTTATTATTATTATTTATTTATTTATCTATTTTATTTATCCTTTATCTATTTTATTTATTATTATTCTTATTATTATTATTACAAATGAAAATGACAATGGATTTTAGGAGGAAAATAGAGTATAATAGGCTTGGTGTCAGTGAAGCTGTAATTTATAAAGTATAATTTCCCTTAAATTAACACAATTAGTAGTAGTATTATTAAAATAAATGTAAGAGTAAATACATCAAGTGTTTTAGAAGGAAAATCGAGTATATTAAAGGGTTAGTTCACCCAAAAATGAAAATTAAGTCATTAATTACTCACCCCCATGCTGTACCAACCCCGTAAGACCTTCGTTCGTCTTCGGAACACAAATGAAGATATTTTTGATTGAATCTGAGAGCTGGATCACTCTTCCATAGACAGCCTGAGGGACTGCCTCTTGACGGCCCAGAAAGTCATTAAAAGAAAAGGTTTAAATATTCCATGTGCCTACAGCGGCTCAACTATAACTTTATCAAGCGACGAGACTACTTTTTGTGCGAAAAAAAAACGTAAATAACGACTTTATTCGACTTTCCATTACTTCCTTATGGGCGCATGCGCGAGAACTGAGACGAGACCGTTCTTCTTCGACTACTTTTTGTTACCGGCTGCTCACCGCTCAGGAGTTTTACCGCCCCCTACCGTATAAGATGACGTACTGCTTGTAAACAGAACGTTTTGCGCCTCCGGCTATATCAGTACGTCATCTTATACGGTAGGGGGCGGTAAAACTCCTAAGCGGTGAGCAGCCGGTAACAAAAAGTAGTCGAAGAAGAACGGTCTCGTCTCAGTTCTCGCGCATGTGCCCATAAGGAAGTAATGGAAAGTCGAATAAAGTCGTTATTTACGGTTTTTTTTTCGCACAAAAAGTAGTCTCGTCGCTTGATAAAGTTATAGTTGAGCCACTGTAGGCACATGGAATATTTAAACCTTTTCTTTTAATGACTTTCTGGGCCGTCAAGAGGCAGTCCCTCAGGCTGTCTATGGAAGAGTGATACAGCCCTCAGATTCAATCAAAAATATCTTTATTTGTGTTCCGAAGATGAACGAAGGTCTTACGGGGTTGGTACAGCATGGGGGTGAGTAATTAATGACTTAATTTTCATTTTTGGGTGAACTAACCCTTTAAAGCAATAAGCCTGTTAAGCTGTGTTTAAGAACAGCTAAGGGGCGCTGTTAGGCACGACACAGTGGTTAATCGATAAAAATATTCATAAAATAAACACCAACAACAAAATATGTAAGCAATACGGTACGAGAGGCTGTGCTGTAATGTGAATAAGTAATGGCTGAAGGGTGTTGTTAGGCTCGACGCGACCCCTACAGTCGTTACTTATTCTTGATACAGCATTACCTTATTGCTTTTATAAAATGGTTACCACACAATAAAAATATTAAAGTAAACAAAAAATATGTATTAGTGCAACTTTCATGAAGTAAAATCACTAAAAGCCTTCCTTCCGCTAGAAAAAAATAGTCCCCGACCGTGACCAGCAAAAACGTTCCAGTGTGTAATAAGCATGAAAGCTCAAATAAAAACAACATAGGAACTATGATAAATAAAACCGTTGGGTGAAGCAGTCATAGCCGTGTGTTTTATCGTGAATAAAGCACAGCTATTGACCAATCAGAATCAAGGATTGGAACTAACCGTTTTATAAATAACATTATAACACATTTATTCCTCCGCGAAGCAAGGGGTTGCCAAGCAACACATGCAACAACAAAGCATCACAATCGGCAGTTGCGCAGTAATACTAATGTAATGCGGTCACGTGTGTGATTTACAACGGCTTCGAACGCGGCTCAACCAATCAGAAATTAAAAACATAAACATAAAAATTGGCTTACTATCAGTGAAGAAGTATTAAAGCTGTAATTTCACTGTTATGAGCTCAGTCCTGATGAACTGCTGTAGTAGGACTGTTTAAAAGAGGGTTTTGGTTCAGGCTGTGTAACATGCTTTCATTTCTGATCTGAAAACCACCCCAAAAATGTGTCAAATCGAGGGTGGTGATCTGATTTTTAATGTGTGTGTGTGTGTGTGTATTCCCACAGTCCCAGTCCCAGTCCCAGTTGTCAATATGGGACAGAGCTCCTGCTGTCTCTCCGGCTGATAGCCGTACTGAAGTGTTCACTGCCAGGCCGACTCGCTCACAGAGCTTCAGAGATCATCCCATTAAAGGTACAGCCTTCAGTCTGTTTTTCTTCTTCCTTTCCTATCCCCTCCTTCTGTCTGGTCTCTCCTGATTACTAACACAGATGTACTGTACCGTGAGTCATCGTTAGACTGTGATTTATTCTTTAAATATTTTACTTTTCCCTCGTCCTATCCACAAGTTTCCTACGCCCCATGAGGCCTTGCGTCAAAAGTGGGCGCGACTTCCAGTTGGAAGTAAACAAAGCGCGACTTGACATGCTTAACACTCGTTCATTCGACAGTTGACAGTCATTCAAGTTATAGCGATCCAAACTAGCTAACGATGTGGGAACACAACCTCAACGAAATTCAAAAGGGTGAAATAACACTACCTTTACCCTCCGCAGTCGTTGATTGGGAGTATTATAGTAACATTATTAATTATCAATACTCATCAAGGCATGGTGACAGACAGGTGTGTGAGCTGACAAACAATTAAAATAAAAAATACACACTTAGTCATTGTGCTTTGGAGTTTATTCAAAATTATAAATGAATGTGCTGCTTGAATACATTAACTGGCACATTTGGTATTCTGTCAACACAGGCTTTGATCCTGAGTTTAGGTGTAACATCAGTAGCTAACAGCCAATCACATGCTGAGAGAGTTTATAAAATATAAAGAATTAAAAAAAATGTACACAGGAAGATTCGTCGTCTTTTGGGAGGTGATGGAAACTAACGTTACAGTCGTTGGCAGGATCAGAGACGGGCTCTGGCAGGATCACTCGTTTTCAGCTTATGTTCAAAACAATCACGTTTAAGCCACTGAACTAGTTTAGTCCGGTTATACATACAACCGCGAACAGCACATGTTGTCCCTGAGCTCCGTAACAACATCTCTCATAAAGATTTGCGTCTTTAAATAGTAAAATAATTCTCCGAAAAATAGCTAGCATCTTCGCTAACTAACACACAAAATACCATTGAAATGCTACTTCCGCCGCGTCACCGGAAGTTTCACCCACTTTATTTTTTACTGGAGCGCCCCTCGGAAACTTGTGGTTCTGTTTCTCTCTTTCTGTCTAAGACACATTGTTAAGTGGTGTGGAGAGACAGAGGCCAGGAATAATTTCTTCGGGAATTGGACCCCAGAATCATCCCTCCTCCTTTCCAGCCCTTCCACGTCCTTCAGGTACACAAAGACACACACACATTTGTGCCTGCCACAAAAAATACATTTCTATGAAGTATAAAGTGGGGTCCAAAAGTCCATGTTGAAAATCTGGGGTTTCTTTTTATTTAATTATGGAAATAAAGTTTTTTTTTAATTTATTTATAAAGGTTTGGGATTTTAAAATATTTAAAACAAAGTTTGTAAATTTGATTGGATGTACTTTTAATAGTAGAATATATTTAAAGGTGTATTATGTAACTTTTTTGTTTTGTTCAAAATTAACAAAATTTTACTTAAATTAATAATAAAATGGTAGTACTGGGCAATGATTAATAGTGATTAATCACATCCGAAATAAAAGCTTGTCTTTACATAATATATATGTGTGTGTGTACTGTGTATAATTATTTTGTATACATAAATACACACACATGTATGTATATATTTAAGAAAAATGTGTTATTTATAAAATATTTATATTTATATATCATTATAAATATATACATGCAAATATTTCTTAAATATATAAAAACATATGTGTGTATTAATATATTTAAAATAATTATACACAGTACACACACACACATATATTATGTAAACACAAACTTTTATTTTGGATGTGATTAATCAAGATTAATCGTTGCCCAGCACTATAAAATTAGCATTAAAATGTTTTTTTAAAATGGAAAACAGAAGCATTTTAATTCGGATCCACAAAATGTTGGATCCTTTCTGCATTTAAAAAATTATTCACTATTAAGCCATAACAGTTAAAATTTTATCTCTCTTCCCTTCTTTCTTTTATTTCACAGCAAGTAGCACTTTCAAAAACAGCTTTACTTTAGGTAAGTCGCATAAACGATATATGTGATTGTGCACTGCAGACACTTCAGTTGTACCTCAGACCATCTGGCTGAATCGCTGAGTGAGCCAGCCATGACAGGCAGGAGAAGAAAAAAGTGAAATAAGAAAATGCAGATATGATGATTGTGTATGTGTGAGGGCTGTGAGTGTGCCAGAGGAAAAGCTTGACAGCATGCAGACTTGAACCCCCATGGAATAATCCTGTAAACAATAAACCAGTGATCAAGATCAAATGACCAAGCTAGATTTTATGCAAGATAAGCACTATTCAGTATGTTCATGGCCACAGTATTATATTAGCCAGTGCATCTACATTTAAACATTGGTAACACTTTACAATAAGGTTCGTTAGTTAACATTAGTTAACTGCATTAGTTAATATGAACTAATAATGAATAGCACATATACAGCATTTGTTAATCTTTGTTAATGTTATTTTCAACACTTACTAATACTTGATTAAAATCTTGTTAACATTAGTTAATGCACCGTGAACTAACATGAACAAACAATGAACAGCTGTATTTTCATGAACTAACATTAACAAAGATGAACAAATGCCGTAACAAATGTATTGCTCATGGTTAGTGCATGTTAGTAAATACATTAACTAATGGTAACTAATGAACCTTATTGTAAAGTGTTACCTAAACATTTTAAAAACCCACCTCATCACCCCATTAGCTCAACACCTAGATTATAGGGTGTCGATTCTTAACTTATTGCGATATACAGCAAGTATTGTGATTCGATTCTGCGATATATTGCGATTCATGTCCCCCATATTGTTCAAAGGTATTACAAAAAAATGAAGAAACTTCAAATGTCACATTTAATTCTGTGAACATTATCTTCTACACATTAACTGAAGTGCTAGAACTTAAGAGGTTAGTGCAAAAACTTTGTACTTGAACATTCAGGACCTTATTATACAGTAGGACAGGACGCCATTATTCTCTGAATAGGAGACCTCTCACATGAATGGTGAGCTCCCAGCACATAACTTAAAGGGATACTTCACCTCTGGAAAGATGAATGTGTATTCAAAATGGGTCATTTATGTAGTGGAAATGTGAGATTATTTTTGAATTCGGAGCTTTCTAGACTGAGAAAAGCCAGAAAATGTATTTTTGGCTTATGCGGATGAAAGACAACAACTCCCAGAATGCACTTGCTTCACTGCCCTATGAGGCCACGCCCACCGGTAACAGAGCGCAGTAGTTAAATAACAAGTCTTAGTCTCTGTGATGAGTCTGCCCGAAAAGGTGTTTCGAGATCGCCCAAAATGTCCGTGATTCGGCTTTTGCGTTCTATAGTCGCCATTCACTATGTTTACTGTGGCGAGCGGGACGAGTGAGGGCCGCGGGAGAACGGCGCGAGACCGGTGGCGTAATTACCGTTGAGCAACACCTGAGAGACGCACCGGTCTCGTATCTCTCACGGAGGAGCGGGAATTTTCTTAGCAATGTTCAAACGCACATCAACCGATCACTTGTTTAGCGTTCATGTAAACACTACATTCAGATTCACCAATCAGAATGAATTCAGTTAGATTGAAACAAAAGCTGTGCATGTAAACAATGAATGGCGACTGCAGAAAGCAAAAGCTGAATCCCGGACATCGATGGCCGGGCATGTCCGGGAAAAAGAGGATGGTAACCCCTTTTACTCAGCTTTCTCCTGCTAGCTTAGCTTCCAAAAAAAGATGTCAGACACTATGTGTTCATTCTGTGAGTGAGATCGCCCTCTACGGGCGGGGTGAGAATATACGGGACAGACCCTACTACTGACTGTAGTCTTTAGCCTCTGGCCAAAAAATCCTCTGACACAAAATGACGATTTTTGCGTCATCTGAGGATTTTTTCCAGACAAAAACTACTTAAATCTCTCGTCTAAGGGGGATATGAGGGTGGAAAGCACGGTAATTCAAAAATACTACAGGTTTCCTACTAATACAAAGCTTAATGCTAAATCCTGAAGTATTCCTTTAAAATTATTTAAATACAATAGACTGACATAAACTGAGAATAATCATATAAATAATGTAAAGGTCTTTACTAATCGCTTTTTGATTAAAAAACAAAACTTTCGATTTGTTGCTCAAACGGTTGTCATGGTGAAGCCAAGCACCGCAACAAGCGCCACCTTGTGGATGTAATACGCAAATGTTAATTCTCAGAGTAAACACCGAGTAAACCAATGGAGAAAACCCCACAGAAATATCGCGCAACTGTTTCGATATAATTGCGTGCACAAAATATCGCGATGCTGAATAGAATTAATTTTTTCCCCACCACTACTAGATTATCACCTTTTGAGATGTTTCTCACTTCAGACGGAGCCTCTAAATACCAGCAGTGCCATGTTAAAGTCACAGGTCGATACTGAATGTGTCCTGCACATGCTTCAAAGCACACTCACAGCTCTGCCAGGTCAAGGAGACACAGTCTGCTCTTTGATAATGAAAAAAGGCACAGGCTTTAAAGTAGGTGTTAAAGGTATATTTAGAAAATCGCTCACAGCAAAACCTGTTGATGTGAAAGAATGTGTTGAATTATTTGTAAAATACACTTATAAAGGATATTGCGACAGGAGCATTTTAGTCATTTCCAGACTTGGATAAGTTTAGGAGAATATTTGTGTTCCTATACTTTTGCGTTTTCTAAAACATAAATATATTTAACAAAACTATCATAGAAGCTGAGTGTCCTTCATGGTTTTTGAAGCTGGTGGCCAGTGCAGCCAAAAGTTTAGTAATCATTTAACGATTAATAATGTTCAATACGAATTATTATTATAAAATAACGACTTTATTCAACTATTCGTTTTCTTCCGTGTGGGCCTCTGGCACGAGTTTACGCGAGAACTGAGTGCGTTTAAAATGGTATTTTCAGTTTACATTTTAAGTGCAGTTTACATTTTTAGCCATTATCTACACGCTAATATTTCTATTTAGCCTAAATTTATTTCAGTTTTAGTTCAGTTTTATTTCAGTTTTCAGGGCTGTCAAACGATTAATCGCATCCGAAATAAAAGTTTGTGTTTACATAATATATGTGGGTGCACTGTGTATAATTATTTTATAAATATTATTATATATATAAATACACACACATGCATGCAAATTTAAGAAAAACATATTATTTATATATAAAACATTTATATTTATATATAAAATAAATTATACATAAATCTATATACAGTATATAAAAGAAAATATTTCTTAAATATATACAAGCATGTGTGTGTATTTATTTATATATATATATATATAAGTATATACAGTGCACCCACATATATTACGTAAAAACAAACTTTTATTTTGGATGCAATTAATCGCGATTAATCGATTAATGGTTTAGTAATAGTAATAGTACTTAGCTTTATTTCAATGAATCCAAATGATGATCTTTAGATATCAATAGCAACACCGATTGCAAATTAGAGCATAATCACTGACAGCCTCTCTGATTGGTTTAGGTCGCACTCTGTCAACTGGGGGTGGAGCTGCGTTCAGAGCCTTCCCTAAATCTATGAGTTTGGATTTTGGGGGTCTGAGCCACGCCCACAACACGCTCAGTTCTGTTGCTCCGCCCCCTGTCACTCAGGATAAGTATGCAGTCTTATCACAACTAGATAAAGTGCTCACTGACAACACACCTGTCACAGGTAGGTTATGGGTATGTCTATTAAGCTAATTGATAATGCATGGTTGAAATCTACATGTTATATAGCTTTGACAAGCCCTTTTTACACTTTTGTAGCCATTACAACAGCTCCCTCTGATGGACCCCCTCAGTATAGCACCCTCTTTGGGAACCGCCTGTCCTCAAGTTCCACGCCTGCAAGGTAAAACATAATAAAAAAACAAATATTCCAATTAGTTACACACATCAGTCCAAACTAAATAAAAATATTTTCCAACCCACATTAATGTGAACATGTTTGCCAATGGCTATAATTGCTCTTTTTCAGCTCCCCGGGCGTTCCCGAGGCCACCTCCGGATCTCAGACGTTTGCAAGTGAGCAATTCACAGCAGTGTTTTGTAGTTTATTTAGTTAACCCAGCCAAAAACTGATTCTGAACTACAGTAGAAATGGCTTTTGGCTTTGACTTGGGTTTTAAAGCAGTTATTTGTGAGTAAACAAGATTTTTTAATATATATATATATTGATCCGGAATAATCCCATGTGTTTAAACAGAACCTCAGCTGTCATTATACAGTAACTTGGGTATATTACTTAAAAATGTAGTCAGTTACTGATTCTAAATTACATGACAAAATAATTAAGATCGTAATTTAATCTGACTACTTTTAGATGAATTAATTAACTCGTTTAGCACATTTGATTGGCATAGGATAAATCTATACCATATTTATCTAAAATAAAAATACAAAAAGAAAGAAAATGTTTTCAATTCTTTGTTATCAACAACATGAAGTGCATTAAATATTATATTAGGTCAGGGTGTTACACTGGGACTGCAGGGGGTTTGTGGGTTAATGAAAAGCTATTAAGGAAATCATAAAAATGGTAAAATTCCTTTAAATGAAAACACTTACTAAAATAAAACATTGTATTTGTTTACCTGCATGTCATTTGCCCATTAACAAACATCAGAGAACTGTGATATTAATTGTATTATTTATTGTTATTATTATCATTGACTCAGTTTTATTAATAACCTAACTTATTGATTTAAAATCTCAGGGGTTATATATTTGGTCAAATAGATTCAGCTGGCAAAATATTTTAAGGAATCCCTGAATTGCATGTAAATATGAAATGATCGAATTGAGATGCAGTTTTGTTGATATGAACTGAGATGTGTGTGCTATTTCTATCCTGTTTGTATCCTGAAATGATGTGAATTTGCATGTTTTAATGTGTTCGAAAGATCCACACAGACAATAATACATAGTTAAATGACTCACTAAATGAAAAACAAAATAATTATTAATGTGTTAATCAGATATGTAAGATTGCAATGTTGAGAAAACGCTTGTTAAAAATGAATGTTTTTCCTCAGTTTTCAGTGATAGTCACATGACTAGTGGCTGGTCTGTGTGTGCAATTCCACAAACCTAGAAGACTTTCTGAGCGTATATAAGCAGTAGGCTTTATTAGAAAGGAAATTTAAAACATGATATGAATAATGAATAATTTATTGACATTGTGAGAATAACTTCAATCAATAAAATTAACTTTAGTCTGATTTTAAAACATAATAATCTCATTACGTAATCCAGATTACATGTAATCATTTACTACCCAGTCCCAGCACCGCTTGTGTGTGTGTGGACGATCTTACAGCATGACCTCATAAAGACTCTGAGATGGAAACATCTGTGAATTCACAATAATTAAGTCAAACCGGGGATTTGATCCAAAGCGGAGTTCACGTTAATGAGAGACCTTCTGCAGTGTGTGACTCATGACTTATAACCACACGTTTTCCCTCTCTGATTCAGATTTCCCAAACCCCTTCAACTCTACAGCCAGTTGCAACCAGTCTGTTCTGTCTCCCAGTAACCCCTTCAAAAGCACAGTCTCAGGTAAGAGATGTGAGCTATGCCCACTTCATGCTTTGGCTTTTGGAAAACAGCAAGACTGCAAAAAAAAAAAAAATGAGCTAGGGTTATTTTTTAGCTTTAAATATATCAATAACATGCCTTTATGGACTGTGAATGTCATAAATCAGAAACTGACTGTGAAGAACTGCTTACAACTACACTAAGTTTAACCAAGCCTTCTATCTGCAGTGACATGTATAGACATTTCCCTCTGGAAGATCTGATTGTGGGACACAAGCCCATAGTTATGTCTTGTGAAGGACACAATGTTACAATGCTATAAATCTGACAAAGTTTACTTGGCTTAAAAGGAACTTAATCCATAAATCAATGAATTTGATAATTGCATATTGCTGGTGTTCCCATGCGAAACTATTACTGTAAATCAAGCCAATCTCTGACTCGCACAAATGCTGTCAACCCCGTGGGAGATCTCAAAGCCAACAACAACTGTGATGTCACCTGGGAAAATTTCAATGCAAAGAGAGTGGTTTGGTGGATTTATTATCGGCTGAAGGCCAAGTGTTAAGAGGGAATAATACACTTTGTCTTGAGCTGTCAGCACGTTTACCATTTTATCATGATGTCCTGAACGTTGAGTTCAATACTATTTTCAAACATGAAAACAGGCTTTTGTGTCCAAAGTAAAACGCAAA